AGAGTATCATAATTTATACTTAAAATTCTAATTAAATAAAAAACTATTAGCAGCAAATTAATGATAAACTAAAATAAAATTAAATATAAATTATAGTGTATTGCTCTTTAGGTATTAATATTTTCAAAATAATCTTTAAAGAAATACGAAAGTATTAATTTCCTAAGTTAAAATAAGATTAATTCATATTTTTTTACCAATCTTAATTCTTATTAAGCAGATTTTAAATAAAAAAACTCTTAATTTTCCATTAAATGTTTCATATATACTTTGATAGTTTAAATGCTATTAAAAAATATAATTTAATTATTAGAAATAAATTGAATGATATTTGTAGCATCAAAAAATCTTAATTTATAAATTTTTATAATCAGAAGTTTATAAGTCTTACACAATAAATTTTGAAAATATTTCTATTAAACTTTCCTTTCTACTTTAATTTAGAAGATTCTGTTTTTTGTTTAGTTAATAAATTTGATAATGAGTGATAAAAATTACAGAACCTTTATGTTTTAATTAATAAAGTATTTTAGTGAAATACACAATCATATTTAAGATTAAGTACTTGTGTATTAAATATGTTTGAATAGAATTTGAAATATGTTTCATAAATTTATTGCAATACTATTTTAAACATAATTTTAGTTAAGAATAAAATAATTCTAAAATAAATTATAAACTTGTAAATGATAAAGTATTTATGTTTTTAATTGTATATTCACTTTTTCAATTGATTTTCACAAAATTCTAGATTTAGAAAAGAAGAATACCCTTTTAATTTTTTGTCCATTAATCATTAGGATAAATCTTTAATTTTCTTTCGTAATATATCAGAGCTTCTTCATATTTCTCTTAATCTTGTAAGCAATTACCTTAATATAACTTAAATTATACCTATGTAACCAAGACTAAAGGTATGGTTAGGATTGATGGACAATGCTTGATTGAGAAATTTTAAAGATTCATCATATTATTTTAGAGATTTTAAACAATAACCTATTAATATAAAGATGATTAAATCTACCTTTATAACTTAAGGATATAACATGTTTGGGTTCAATAGCTAATGCTTTATCCAACCAAGT